GAAAACCCTGTTTTGTTCATATGTGTGTTTCCTGTTTTTGTCTGCTTGGAAATTTATTGTGTTTTGTAGCTCAATGAGTTTTTTATTTAGTTTTTAATCTTCTACAGGAAATTCACAGATTCTCCTTTGTTCCAGCTGAGCTATAGGAGCTTAGTTTTGGGGGTTTTGTGTGTTTCTTTCCTTTCTTGATTCCTCATGTTCTTCACAGCCTTGAGCTACTGTCATATTTGAAGATGTCCTTTGCTCCCGGTTTTGGCAGAGAATATCTCCAGCAGATGCTCTCCTAGAGATTTAGTGGACACTGAGAACTTTTTCATGAATACATCTGCCCTACTCCTCTTGCTTTCCCTTGAGGTCTGGGCTGGATCTTGGGATGTGTGCCTTAGCCTAATCTCAGAGTCATGGTGGATACAGAAATTTATCTTTAATTTTTCCAACAGATTCCCCTGACAAGACTTTCCAAATCATGGGAGAGCTACAGACAGAAAGATTCAGGAAGCATCAAGACTCCAACCATGACCCTCCCTCCAAATCGGCATACTACAAATCATATTATAAATTGTCAAAAGGAAAAAGAGAATCTTGAAACCAGCCAAGAGAAAACAAAGCCATACAGGTGAAAAAATCCCCCCCCAAAATTAGCAGACTTCTGATTAGACACTTTTAAAGCCTAGAGGGAATCTGGTGAAACCTTCAAGTGCTGAAAGGGAAAAGAATCTCTGTCATGAATATGTTCAATTCTCTCCTTTAGAAATGAAGAAGAGACAAATGCATTAGAACTCCACCAAAGCTGAGGAAGGCCTGAGCCAGGCCTGACAAGGGAGCCTCAAACAGTTCTTTATATAGGAATGAAACTATGGGAAGTAACTGTAGGACAGCAGCAGTGGGGATGCACCAAGGTATCTTCTTAGAGAAAAAAAGAAAAGGCCTTTGCCAGCTGAGGGAGCTCCAGGGCAGGCAGCCTCTGAGGTGGCCAACCTCAGGGCTTTCTATGCAGATTTCAGGGGGCTGTGTTGCTGGACACATGAAAATGAAACCCTGTCATTGCCCTTTTCAGCCAGGCCTCTGATGTCAGGAGAACAGACTCTGTGCACACTATTGTCTGGGCAGACTTCAGTGAGGTTTCTTCCCATGCAGCCCTACTTTCTCAGGGCTTACCACAGTTTCCTCTGGTCCTTGTCCTCACCATCCACTGTTTCCCCAACTTCTGGTCTTGGTTCTGTCCAACAGACATAGTGTACTTTGTTCTCAGTCCTTCGCAAAAGATTCTCAAAAAGGATTCCTCAAAAATATTCAATTTTTGGAACACTAAAATCATATAAGATATATTTTCTTGATATAATAAAATTAAACCAGAAATCAATATCAGGGAAATTGTGGATACCCAAAAATACTTGAAAGGTAAAATATGTTTCTGAATATGCAAAATTTCAAGAAAGAAATTAAAAAGGAAATTTTAAAATATCATTAAATCAATAAAAATTGAAATACAGCACATAGAGGATGCAGCAAAGGCAATTTACACTAGAATTTTGTCACACCTATTTAAAAAGGACTCAAATAAATTTATATGTATATCAGCTAGAATGATTAAAGGAACTAAGCCCAAAAGTAAAAGGTATGATAAAATAGATAGTATAAACCATAAATAAGTAAAATACAGAAAATGAAGACAGTACAAAATGGAACACAGGTAAGAATTGATTTTTTGAACAGATAAACAAAAGTCATCCTGTCACTTAATCCCAGAGATAGACTTTTTGGAAAATCCTTTGTATCCCAAAACTAACAGTAAATTAGTTAGAAGGGGGAAACTTCTATTTTTTTGAAAATGTGCTTGATTTCTGATCCTGTAGATGGTCAACAAATTCCCATGAAAAAAAATCTTCATTCATTCTATTGCACTGTGTGGCTTTGGTTGAACACACACACACACACACACACACACACACACACACAAAGGTCTGCCATTGATTTACACTCAGAAAGAGGAAGGGGTACTGTAATTGTATTTTTATATGAGTGATGGTACTCTTCATTTATTCCATACCAAATCCAAACAACTTGTATTTATTTAAATAATAATCAAAGATTAGGAACTGAGTGCTGTTGATGAATATTTTCAACTCCGATGCATTTTTTTTTTATTTCTAGCATGGTGCATGACTTTCTGGGACATGTACCCATTCTCTGCAACATATCAACCCACAGAGCAAAGCCACACTCCCAAAACACCATATATTATTCTATGTAATGCCAAATGGTTTCACTATAGTATAAGTAAATTACTTTCATGATCAGACATGCACTTAAAATTCATTGAATCTCCACTGATGTGTGAAACATTTTTGAATGCTTTCTTGTTATTAAATGTCACATCTTTAAAGTACTTCTTAAGAACTCTGTTGGAAATTTAATTAGTCTCAATGGTGTAGCCAAAGAATCTTCGCAATTAGGGGCTGGAGTAAAAGTGAGCTCCTTGGAGGTTGGGATCACCAGGTACCCAGAGCTCATCAGAAGTGTGACCTCCTGGGCCTCCCTGGGGAAGATTCACTGGGCTCACAACTACTTCAGAAGTGGGGCTGAGTGTGGCCTGTACTGGTAGTCTCACTGAGAAGAGGAGCTTCTGTTTTACTCAGAAGAAAGAAGCAGGAGCAAGGATCATGCTGAGTTCCTTAACATTTTGCAAAACAATATTCATGTCAGGATCGTTAGACTCATTACTCCAATGCTCTGGTAAGTTATTATGTATTAACTAATGTATTTTCTTTAACATTAGTAATGAATAAATCATATACCAACACCTATGAATTACTTCAAATTCTTAAGCCAACTTAACTGTATTTTCCCCATACAATTTATGTGAGCATATAAGTATAGATGCCTTTTTCAGCATGCTAATGTTTATTTTACACAGTTAGATCTCAAATGCACTTCAAAGATCTGAATTTCATGTATGACTCAAGTCACAGGATCATAGTGGTTGGGAATTATCCTGAAATTAAGTAACAGGAATCATGAATTAAATATTTTCATGAGCTGGATTTAAAATGTAATGAAAATATCTACAATCTCAAGAAGTTTATGAAGCATTTTATGGAGAAAAGCATTTTATGGAGATCAAGTCACATGAAATATTGTTTGAATTGCCCAAAAAGTTGAGATGTCTAGTATGGTCATTATTATGGATGATTTTATCAACAGCTCAATTTTGTAAAGTATTAAATCATAATGCTGATCTTCTAGATATCTTATGTCACCCATTTAATAATTTATGGGAAATTGACAATCATGGTCCACATTTTAAAATTTTGAGCAAAATAATTTCAAACTATCACTTGGAAAACGAAGGAGCAAGAGGAGGAAGGATCCTGGGATATTTTCTCTTCTTTGGAGGGTTGTCATGCACTGTGAAGAGTGGAAATGTAAGGTGAATTTAGCACAGGGAAGCTGAGACTTTGTTTGGACTGCAGATAAAGGACAGGAAATAGAGTAATCAAGATGGAAAGGAGACTGCTAATGACTCATATGAAATCTGTTATTTTGATAAACAAAATTAAAAATAGCCTGAAATGTGGTTTACATCCATGACCTACACCAGATAAGCACTATTAACGTAGTCAATGAATATTGGTTTCCATAGTAACGTCCTGTGCTCAAAGAATTTTCTCTTCATGCAGAGAAATAAGGCTAAGAGAAGAAAACACTGGTTATTCAGAGGATATTGGAGAAAGCAATTCATAAAGAATATTTTGCCAAAACCATGGAAAGACATATGGGGATATCACGGAAGCAAATCATTACTATTATGCATGTGAAAGGCAGAAAAATATGAATGCTTTTGCAATGGAAATTAATTACATTTAAAGTATTTTTTAAAGTGCTGATGCTAATATTTTCAATATTATAATCCCACAATTCTGTTTCTTCAAAGAAAATAAAATACTGACATTAAACCTTCAATACAGCTATTTTTAGTACTGAAGAGGTAATCTATAAACAGATTATTTATTATTTGAAATCATTCAAAACATGAACAAATAACTCAATTATATTTAAAATAATTATTTTAGCACAAGTACCTTTTATCAAAAGCTATGAAAGCAAGGAGAGGGAAGGTCTGGACAGAGCTGAATATTGGCATCCATTACTAAATTAGTATTTTGGCTTGGAGAACTATTTCAAATGCTTCTGTGTTATTTTGGAAATTAGTTTTGATAAAAATATGTAGACAAGAAAGTTGCAGGAAGGGAACTGGCCATATGTTGGCAATAGGAAAACAATATTTGTACATCCCAAATGAAATCATATCTTGCATAGAAGATGGTACAAAGAGAGAAGAAAAGGCTCATACACAGGTCTAGAAGATCTCTTGAAGTGACAGCTGGTGTGGTGTGACTGGCCTTGTGTCCTTTAGATCAAAGTCATTGTCAAAGGAAGCTCAGGTTCATGCATTAGATCTGTTAGGGAAAGTTGAGGAGAGCATCAACTACAGAAAGGTCACACCTCAGTCATTATCTAACCCAGGACCTCAAGAATGAGGAGCAGATGAGGGATTTCCAAAGCCCAGGGCTGATACAGAAGCTTTCATAGAGAAACTCCAGGATGGTCATGGAAAGATTAAGCAAATGAGAAAAATGATTGCGTATTGCAGGGAGAATTAGAAAGACTTAAGTGTGCTGAATAAATGAAACATTGGTGGGGCTAAATTTCATTTAAAATACTATAATGCTTAGATGTTTCATTTTATTAATGTAGGAACTAATGGAATATCAAAATTTTGGAAAAAGAAAATCAAAATATAAATATATACATTCACTAGTTTTCAAGACGCTTTATTTTATCCATTTATTCTATGCTGACTTCATGATTAGAGTCCACACACTGGTGTCAGTGTCAGCATTTTATTATACTTCTAAAGGGTGCTCTACATTCTGCTTATAGCATCCTCTGCTCACTTTAACCTCTGACTCTGTAGAGACAAAAGCAGGTCGGCAGACATGGACAACCTCACTGTCTTCACAGAGTTCCTCCTCATGGATGTTGCAGGCTCCCAGGAGCTCCAGATTCTGCAAGGTGTGCTGTTCTTAGCAATTTATCTGGGAGCACTAACAGGAAATCTTGTTACTGTCACTGTCTTCCTGACAGACACACATCTGCACTCTCCCATGTACTTTTTATGAGCAATGTGGCCTTCATAGACCTCGGAAGCATCTCGGTTATTGTTCCCAAGGCTGTAGTGAATTCCTTGATGGGCAATAAGACAATATCCTTGAAAGAGTGTGCCTCACAGACTTTCCTGAATATCCTTTTTGGAGAACTGGAGATTGCTTTCCTGGTGCTCATGTCCTATGACCACTATGTGGCCATTTGCCAATCTCTGCACTATGGGCTCATCATCACCCCGAGTCTGTGCTCCCACACCACAACTGGCTCCTGGGCCTCTGGTCTGGTCTTCTCTGCTATCCATACAGGCTGTATGTTTAGACTTCCCTTCATGAAGACCAATGTGATTCAACAATATTTCTGTGAAGTTCCTCAAATTCTGAGGATTTCATCTTCAGATGCACAGTTTTCTGAATTTGTACTGATTGTTGTAAATGTATGTGTTGTCGTAAGATGTTTTAAATTTATGTTTGTGTCATATGTTAATATATTTTCAACTGGGCTTAGGATGCATTCTGTGGAAGCCTGTAACAAAGCCATATCAACCTGTATCCCACAACTGGCCATTGTACTTTTGTTTTCATCTCTGGGGTGGTGACTGTCTTAGGACCTATTGCAAATAAACCATCCCTTAAGAATCTGCTGATTGCCATGTTATACACCATGGTGCCCCCATTTGGGCACCCCATCATCTACTGTCTATGCAATAGGGAGATCAATGCTGCCCTGCAAAGAATGTTCAACAGATATTCTCAGTTCCCAGTCAAGGGTTTTCTTGAATAAAACATAAATATCAGTCTACCAGTTGAAAATAGTTTTATTCACTTTTGATGTATGTTTTTAAAACTGGGATCTAACCTGTGATTCATCTCATTTTAAATGTCTCTGTATGTTTTTGTTGTCTGGACTTGTTATGGTGAAGTACAAATTTTATTTTACTTTTCATGCTGTTTGTTGTATGTTTCATTCTTTTGAAATACCAGAAATCTTGTCTGTACTGACAAAATATTTTGAAAATATTTGGGATGGTTTTGAGCTAAACTCAAAGTCAGGCACCAAAAAGAGCAGGGTATGCATTGTGTTTTCCACTTTAACAGATGCCTGTGCTATTGACAGAACCTCAGGTGCTGGATCTGACCTACCTGGAGGAGCATACTGAGTGGTCCTGTGAGAAGACCCTGATGTGTGCATCATGCTATATGCACTTGCTCTTCCTTTTGGAGTGGGATAAGTAACACAGTGATTAGACAGTGGGGAAACACAGGGCTGAGGAGAGTGAGATCTTTGCCAGCCCCTTGGGCTGCATTTGCTACAACCCTTTCCTCATTTAATGAAAATCAAGACACAAAATGACTGACCTTCAAAAAGTATAACTTAGAAGTTTATGTTTTTTTTTTCTCTGGTCTGGATGAAAAGATGCAGGCCATGGTTGATGCAGTCAAACTTTGTGGATAAGGAACAAAAACAAATCAGATTGTAGCATGGAGAAAATTGAAATAACTTCTGCTGGAATCTCCTTGGAGAACAGCAGATAATGTTTGCACTGTGTGGTGCACTTTTTTCATCAAATAGCACATACAGATGGATTCACCCAAAATCAAAAGTTTTATTTTTCTGACTTCCAAGAGCTGAACCTGCAGCATGTGGCTAACACACAAAATGAATATATTGTGTCTCAGAATTGAATTCAATTTTCCCTTCTTTCTCATTAAAAAGCCCTGTCTGGGAAAACCTCAGCATTGAGGCACTGGTGCCCTTGTAGATCCACAAAGAAGCAAGTGGTGTTTGGCTCATGGATCTCCTTTCATCAAGAGCTCACATCCTGGTGAAGGTCTGGATGGAGCTCACCCTCCTCTGATGCCTGAGATACCTCAACTTTCAAGGTTTCATCCCTGAAGAGTCTAACTATAGGTGACATAAATATATTTATATAAGTTGAAAATCTAATTTAATTTATGCATTTTTGAATCAAATATTTACTCTAACCATGCTAACTAACATACCTACGGTTCTTTTCAAAATATAATATTATCTGGGTCATGATAGCTGCTTTCAAGGAAAAAAATCCCTCTCTAACTTAAATTTAAATGACACTGTTGCAAAGGTAGAATGTTAACAATTTTAAATATTTGAATTTAAATTCATTTTGCCCTATTTTTGTCTTTATTTAGATTTATGTAGATTTTTCTGTGCCAATTTATATTTCTCCAGATATTTGAGTGAACAAGAAGACCGATTTCTAAATTCCAAGTTTAATTTATAAATTACTCTAGTTCTTTTCTGTTTTGACTCTCTACCTAGAACCTATGATTATTATTAATGGATTTATAAATTTATAAATCAGTTTTCAGTATTTTCAATAAACATACTATTATGTGTTAGACGTTTTCAATTATAATACTCAAGTCCTTTAAATTAGGAAATTTTTATTTCTTGTTTATGTTTTGAGCAATTTCATGTATTTACTTATTTATAAACAATAATCATAGGCATTTAAAGGATGCCTTGTTATTCCTTAAGGTTTACAGAGTAGAATTTTGAAATCAAACTAGTTATCAAAGCTCTCATCCATTCTGCTTAACATTTCTAAGTGTGAACATTCAACATCTACTTTTGTTCAGCTATTGAAAATACATAATGCATTACTATGACTGCATATTCACCATTCTCTGCAATATATCACTAAAACTGAATCTTTCTGTGTAGTTGAAATTTTGTGTACTTTGATCAATATCTCCATTGCCCACTGAACCCCCTGTTCCAGGATCTGGTAACAATCATTTTACTCTCTAGATCTATGAATCGAACTTTGTGAGATTCCACATATGAGTTATTATACTAGGCATGTTTCACATAACATGAGGCCCTCAGGATTCAGCCATGTTGGGGCAAAAGCCAGGACTTCCCTCTCTTTAAGACTGTATAGTTCCATTCCATTAGTGTATATGCTGGATTTTCTACCGTTATCTGATGAGGGACACTTAGGTTGCTTCCTTGTCAACAAACCTGCGAGGTAAAAGAGATTGGGATATTTCTCCAATAGATTGATTTCAGTGTTTGTATACATACAAGGCATGGGATTGCTCTATCATATGTGCTTTGGCTTGTATCTAGATGTTCTTATACAGTCCCCTGCCTCATGGATAGGGTTTTTGGAGGAGCATGGAGCTAGGGTGTGTGAACATGGATTATAGGCATTATAGGGTTGCTCTGTGGAGCATTTTGATCATGAAAGATTGTTGGATTTTGTCAAAGGACTTTCTGCATTTATTGAGTAGATCTATAAAGCTGTCCTTCATCCTATCACTTTGTTGCATCATATTCATTGATTTGCATTCTTTCAACCAAATTTGCTTCCCAAGAGTAAATCCCAACAGATCATGGTAAAATGTACTTTTACTGTGCTGTTTAATTTGGTTTTCATGTATTTTATTGAGGTATTAGATGTATGTTCATGAGGAATACTGCCTGGCAATTTCTTCTCTTGTACTGTCCTTTCTTAACTTTCATGTCAGAATAATGCAGGATATATAACATGAATTTGAAAGAATTCCCTCCAGAACTTGGCCCAGCAAACACAATGTAAGCTCAGAAAGGACCTGGAGCTCCTGTGATAAACAACAGACCAGCAACACCAATCCTGCAAGAAAAATATAATCCTTGTAAGCTTCAAAGAAAGTTAGGTTTTATTATGAGAGTGACTCCTCAAGTGCTGCTGAGACAGGAGACCATTCTTCCATATGGAATTGGGTAACTATGGGTTTGTTGTGTCATTAGGCAACTATGGGTTAACTAGGCTGCTATGCTCTTTGTACAGTGAACCTGTGTTCCCATGACAACTTCTGTAATCTGTCTTCAAAGGAGTGTAAAGGACTCAGAAAGTCCAGCTAGAACTCCTTGCTCTGCCTGCCCTCCACTGCTCTGCTTTATATGAATCCTGCTTGCTATATTCCCAGGGAAGTTCTAATGACATTAAGTTTTGTGGATGTAAAAAGAGGTATATAAAGAAGAGCAAACCTCTACTTGGGGCTCTGAAGACTGACAGGATTCACTTGCTGAGCTGCTGGCATTTAAAGCCACTCTTTGCTATCTTCCTGTTAAGTATGGTCTGTCTGTGGTCCTCACAGTTTCCTACTTCATTTGATGTATTGGCTGGGAATCTCTAGGACCTGGCACAGTCACTTATGGCTAATTTCCTCCTCATCAGCTGGCCAGATGACAAGTTTCTGCTGAGTGCTGGACAACAGAGTATTTCCTGTCATGTGTGAGTCTCCCTGTATGACTGGCCTCTGAGACACCCTGGCTGGTTGTCTGAGGAGGGCTCACACAGGGAGGCAGAGGGCTCACACTTTGAGGAGGAGATCGAAGGAGAAATCTCCAAATGTGGACTGATAACCCTCTGTGTTCCCTGACTAGCTTCTGGAGTGCTAACCAGAGTGAAACCAGAACATTGTAAGCCACCAGAAGGCAGGTCTGGCTGCTGCTGTTGGTTGGTGGGAGAGTGTGTTTAGTTGAGTCTGCAAGTGCCTGTGTGTAAATGAGACAGACATCACATTCCTGACTCTGGTCAGAGTACATAGGGCTGAAGCCATTGTGGATTCCAGGGCCATCTTCATATGGCTTAGGGCAGCACTGCAGTGACAGGATCACTGGCCTGCTGGTGCTAAGAGGGGCCTGATATCTCCATGAGGAGACTGTTCTGTGATGGACAAAGCAATTGACATCTTGTTTATAGTTCATTTCTGTGGAAAGAAAAAACATAAGTGAGAACCATAGTAAAAGCACTGCTCTAGTGATCATGACTGAGAAAAGAAACAGACACTTTAAGAAGGGATTTACTGGAGATCATGGTAAAAAACTTACTCTAGGGAAACTGAAGTCCCTTCATGAAATAGAATGGCCATTGTTCCAGGTTGGATGGCCCCCACAAGGCTCATTTAAGAAATAAACCTTACTTCACAAAATGTAACAAATTATCACAATGTGACAGAAAGCCCCAGGCACCCAGGTCAGTTCCCTTATGCAGGATCAGGGTTACAGCTGGTTCTTTGTCCACTCCCTTGGCTGAGGGAACACCTTTCCCAAGTTCTAGTGGCCACAATGTGCCCATCCAAGCAAGCAAAGACATGCCAAAACTTCACCCATTTTTGAGGGAAATCCAGATGATTTGGCTTTAGATATTCCTGCTCCCAGGCCAATGTCCCCCTCAAGGGCAACAGATACCAGCCCCAGCTCCAGGACCCTCAGTACCTCCAGAGCCACACCCTTCAGCACCAGGTGGTCCCCAAGCCAGCTGCAGCCTCAGAGCCCCACCCCATTTTGAGTCCATTACTGCTTCCCTGCTTCTACCAGGAGGCCTCATAGGACTGAAACTCCTCAGTCCTAATTGATATGGGAATGAACCACTTGGTTGTGACATTCTCCACTGGGCCTCTCAGCCATAAGTCAGCTGACATCAAGGGGCCACAGGACAAACTATGGCATAAGCCTTTTTCCAGCCTTGGATTTGGGAAATGGGGGGCCACAGGGTGGTCCATCAGTTCTTGTACATGTTTTAGGGTCCAGTTCCCCTTTTAGGGAGGGATTTCTTGGACAAGTTAACTTGATTTTATGGACAGAGTAATGCACTTTGAACTGCCACCTCTGCAGTTGATCCTGGCCTGGACTGTCCCCTAGGAAAAAAAATAGAGGTTCCATGCCTGGCCAATTCAGATGGCGCCCAATGGGGATTTGGACTTAATTAAAAATTGGACCCAGATGTGCACAAAAGACAAACTATCTAGCCTGGCAACAGACCAGCACCCAATCAAAATAAAACCCAAGACCCAGAGACAATTGTGAGAATTCTTGAGAGTATCAGGCTTTTATAAGATATGGATTCCCAACTGCATCATCCTAGCTAAGCCCCTCGATAAAGTGATAAAGCTACAAAGATGGGGGGAGGCACTAGCATGGAAAAAACACTTCCAAGGCTGTCAAAGAAAAGCTTCAGGAAGATCTGGCACTAAGTCTCTCTGACCTAAACAAGCCTTTCACCCTCTATGTGACTGATCAAATGATGACTGCAGTAGGGATGCTAGTCCAAACCTTTAGTTCATGGGAATGACCAGTGGCCTACTTGCCCAAGCAACTAGACAGAGTTGCACAAGGGTGGCCTCCCTGCCTGAGGGCTCTGGCTGCATCTGCTGTCCTGACCACAGAAGCTGACAAATTGGCTTTGGGCCAAAGCCTGTGA